CCCATTGCTATGATTGTACCTGTATTAGAATAAGCTTGATGTGCTCTAGAGTTGTCGACTGGAATCGCAAACCTTTTGGATAATTAATTGTTTGCCATGATGAATAATTTTACGATGAAAGCAGTCTGATATCTAAAACTGAAAGAACAACAGGTGAAAATAGCAATGATTGGCTACAAAAATAATACTGCGAAGATCACACTCAAAACGTCATTTTCCAGTTATGGTATAACATGGGCAAACTGTAATTACTGTGGTGTTTTTTTTTGTTCGCATTGCAATGCACGGGCATAATGCTACTAAGAACATAAATTCATTGTTCATGGAATGAAGTTAGTAATAGCTGAACAAACATGTACCTTTGTACACATATAATTTCCATTGTGGCATTTTTTTGTTTTTGTCATGGTGAACGGTTCAGATTATCGAGGGAGGACGTGTCAAACATTGTAACGGTTGACGTTATGAACAACAACGTTCTTGCGATGGTTGACACATGAGCGAGCTCACGTGCATGCACATCAGGGGGAAGAAAAACAAAGAAAGGGGATAATGAAGAGTAGAAGGATTAATGGCTAGAAATGGGCTGAGACACTATCACCTAGCTTACAATGGGCCTGCTGATTTTTGAATTTCACTATAACGGGCTGAGACACTGTGTTATGACAAAATGCGAGAGCCCATGTATATGAGATGAAGACAAAAACAGTAAGGGACGAAGCCCATGGAGACACCAGCATGCTTTTTTTTAGGGGCAGAATTAAGCCCATGGAGACAAAATGGGCTGAGACACTATCACCAGAATTAATTGTTTATATGTCCATGTGCATGTGGGCCGGTTTTGACTCTAGTGTGGCGCTTCCGAATTCCTGGACTGCGCAGCCCATGTACAAGTATATATTTTTGCTAATACTGTTTGGTAGACAGTATTTTAATGGGATACATGGTTCCTATGCTGCGCAATCTATCACATATGCCACAAGTATTCTTTTTACATAGGTTAGGGGCTGCTTGTTTGGATCCAGGGGGCTCATAGTTAGCTCCTGTTTTCGGATACCAAATAGAAAGGCTAAGGGCAAATAAGAGCTAATGGGGTTAATTGGTGGTTAGAGTCCATTACCCTTGTTAGCTCGTAATTAGCTCATGTTTATCCTATTTTCACAGGCTGAGCTAATGTTTAGCTCTGAGATCCTAACAGGCCCTTACCGCATTTCAGCCATGTTCTTAGTTTTTCATAAGTACATTTCTTTCCCATTATTACTAGAATCATGCCCATTCTACATGTGTATGTTTGTGGGCTTTAGAACTTTTATGCCTGAGAGCAATCTGTCTCTGAGGTAGAGATCATATGTGCTGGAGATGTTAGCTTGTTTCTTCTTTTGCTAAACCAAACTCCTGTATTTCCGTCTGAATGGAAATGGGGCTCGCCTCCGGTGGAAAAATAAGAATCATATATGCCTATGCAATGCAAGGGGAGAAAATAATATAATAATAACCAGTGCATCCTTAGGTTTGTAGCCAGTTGCATGAATTAGATTGGAAGAATATAAAAAATGAATGTATTTATGATATATATACCACTAGAAGTGCACGGATGGTAGTATTCATTATCTCTTTGCCGGAGGTCTCCTTTTAGTTCTCCAGGAACTGACGCATAGAGTTGGAGTTCCTACTGGTGGCGCTGGCCTTCCATGCAGAGAAGGTAACGCAGATGGATCGGCGCTGGCTTGTCCGAGTAGGGGTTGAACTGCACCATCGGATGACAAGCACATGGACGCGGACGCGTGAGCTCCATGAAGATGATGACGTGGATCATGACTTCGTATAGGATGCGGACGCGTGAGCATGGATCAGGACTTGATATCACTCGGTAGATGATGACGTTCTAGTATTTTTAGGCGTAGAGATTTGCTCCATTATTTCTTTTGTTGGGATGATCACGAGTGCTTCAGCTAATCTATGGTGGAGTAGTACTTTTGTGTTGCGTGCCAACTTGGACTTGATTCAAATTGAAAAGCCCAAGTGCCCAACACTCTCCTATCCTATACTCTGGCCAGGCCCGTGGCGAAATGACTTACTGCTTGGGTTGGTCATACATATTCTGGAATCCGATCTGGCAGGGCCAGGCCCAAAGAGGACCCTTGTGAAAATGAATTAGGAATGGCTTAATTATGTGTGTATGTAAGATATATGTATAAATGTTTTATTAGTTTGAGCTTTCCATAGACAGATCTACGATAGTGGTAGCAAGTCATATGTATGTGAGATTTCTGTAATCAAACCCAGTATCACTGTAGTTTGTAGTTCTTCTCCCAATGGCCATGAAGACACTAGTAGAGAACAGACATTCGGTTCAGCATATTAGTCTTGGCTAGACTTAGGCCCAGGACTAATGTGAGCATTAGTCCCGGGTCTATGTTTCATGGGTGGAGGACCTTTAGTCCCGGTTTGTTACACTGACCCAGACTAAAGGGTCTACATTAGTCCCAGTTGATGTTTCCAATCCGGACTAAAGAGCCTTGACCCTTTAGTCTTAGATAATGATATCAAACTAGACTAATGTAGACCCTTTAGTCCCGGTTGGTAACACCAACCCGGACTAAAGGACCCTTTGATCCCAGTTGGTGTTACCAACTGGACTAAAGGTCCTCTAGAGGTTAGTTCAAAAGGAAAGCATCATATCCAAAGTCACATTTGATGTCTAGGTGGAGTGGTTAGCTATGAGTGAGGCAATGCATGAGGTCTTGAGTTTGAGTCCCACGAATCACAGATTATTTTTTAGCCTCGCATAGATCATCTAGTCACAGACAATCAAGACTAAAGATTCCTAGTCCCGGAACCCGGGACTAAATCCCTTTCCTAACCGGGACTATAGCCCATCTGTGTACTAGTGAGAAAAGTCAATGAAAGTGGGAGTTGTTGTTGGTGTTGGCCACGTTCGGCTGGTCTGAAAATTTCAGACCAGCCGGCTGGTCTGGCTGCTTCTCCTCATATTGCTACAGTGCATCTTCCAGCCGCCACAGTGTTTCTCTCACACAACCAGCCGCTACAGTGTTTTGTCTTCTTTTCAGACAAGCGAAAGTGGGAGTTGGTGTTGTTTGTTGAAATCAAGTGATAATTATATTGCTTACCCTTTTTTATATAACATAAGATAAGCATACCGCTTTGTCAGCCATTTGAGCTAATGAAGACTATCGCCGCTGGATCCAACTAGCTAGGAGTGACAACTTGTTGATAAATTAGGGAGTATGGACCAGCAACTAAAGACCACGACACTAACAATAATGGACTTATATGTCATTATACTCCATGCTTATCAGATGATGGTACATGGGTAGAAAGCTTGTGTGTGAAATATTTACGAATTCGTTTTTCTAACTCTGGTTAAGAGGAGGTATAAATGTAATGATCGATGCATAGATTAAAAAGACCAGGATAGTGATATATGCACGGCCGGACTAATAATGACGCGTAGCAGGTATATATAGTGATACAGACAATTGTTAGTGAAATAGAGCATCTTAGTATTGCTTGCTAGGAGATTCTTCCTCCTACCTCAAATTTGTCCTTCGTTCCTGTATAGCTGAGACCGACATAAGTACTACCAAAACAAAATATATTAACCATGCACTTAACTAAACGCACACTATGCCAAAACAGCACTAAGGAGACGCTTTAATCAGTAGAATAATGTGTCACTATTTTATTATGAGTGACGCAGGTAAACAATACGCGGCACTGCTTAGATCGATGTCACCCATGGCTAGGAAACAAATGCACTATTGATAAGTAATCAGAGCATCTTCCCAACTAGATGCACAGCTGATAAAACAAATTGCAATCAGTGACACATTGGAGCAATAATGATCGATGCACAGATTAAAAGGACCACGATAGTGATGCACAGACGGACTAATACTGTTGCGTAGCAGGTATATATATAGTGATAGTGATGCAGACAATTGTTGGTGAAATAAGGCATCTTATTATTGCTTGCTAGGAGATTCTTCCTCCTACCTCAAATTTGTCCTACGTGCCTATGTAGCTGAGATCGACATATGAACAACGTGAACAAAGTATTAACCATATTCTTAGTAACTAAACACCCACCGCCAAAACAGCTTAAAGGAGACACTAGAGATGAAAACGGATCGGATCAGAGCGGATCATAAACCTGGAAGTGGATTGACATCCACGTGCAATGAGGACTACGGGGAAGTGGAAGCTTCTCGATATATCAGTATAAATACTGAACTCATCGACGGAAGTTTGCATCTCTATCATCCTTTTACCTTCTGCATTTTTATTATGTATCTTGGGTGTGTGCTTACTTTCCTAGCTTATTTTGATAGGCCAATTAATAGGATTAGAACCTAAGGTGCATAACTCTTTTGCGGTAGAGATAGCAATACACCTAGCAAAACCATAGTTGCGCATTTAGATAATTTATTTATTTGCACAGGTTTTGCTAAGGTCAAAATTAGAGGCCATAGTTAGAAGTAGACTTTTAAATTGTCTAATTCACCCCCTCTTAGACGTCATAGTCCTTGCAGTGATACTTAAGAGTAAATATTAGTACAATCAATTACTCCTGAGGTTCTAACCTGTGTGAGTGCACGGGTTAATGTACTAGTACTTCCTTATTATCCACAACACCAAGCGTTACATTTAAGGGGACACGCATACTCCCAGAATTACATACAACGTAACACAGGCAAAAACAATGTAGTTGATTTACAATAATACGACTTCCTTGGTTGTTCACACTCAAATTTTGGAAAAACAGTGCAGATGAGTTTCATCCGCATGAAACTCTCTCTACTCCCGTGAAACTTTCATCATCTCTCTTTATTAATATAGTACCATGTCAGCATATTTAATGCCCATAAAACTCTCATAAGGAGCATCCGTAACAGTAAGTTAATTCTCAATGGAAAGCTTCAGCATGCTCCTCCTTCACCGTGGCCGATAACGTAGTGGCCCCGACCTGCCCTCTGCATTCAGGTAACAGTACAAAAACTGGAATGCTGGGCGGGCTGGTCCTCTGCTACACAGGACGCAACCCGTGCGGGTCTCCCGCTACCAAAGTCAACTTCGTCGAGGCCAAGATTTCTCCAGGAAGAAATAGTTAGCAGGTCGTATGGAACCTGGAGAGCCGCCGCCTCCTCCTCCTCCTCCTGCCGCCGGCAGCTGCTGCCTGTGTTATTCTTGAACAGCTGGTCACCTATTTTCTCCTTGGAGTAGTTGATCAAGTTCACCAGGTCGATGATATCTCCACGTGCCACCGTGCCACTCTTTGCCCTGACAATTTCCGCGGTTAGGCAATTGCCGTAGTACGCTTTCTTCAGGCCAACAACATGCTTGCGCACATTAGCTGGAAACAGAAGCAGCGCAGGGCGTCGGGGTCCTACATGGTTGCGCGGGTATGGCACTGCCACATCACCTGGCCATTAAAGCGGATGCCAAATTCATCCTTGATGCGGCCAACCAAGCTCGAGGGGACAGTGATGTCTAGGAAGGCAAGGTGGGACAATGAAACTATATGAGGTATACTCAGTTCTAGTGGAACAACGGACTTATTGGCTGGGAGACGTGGGAGTGAATCATCCGACCTGACCGGAAGAACTGTAGGCGATGGCAATCCACGGGCAAACTCACCCGATGGCCTGCAAGAATTGGCCCATCCCAGCACCATCGGCGACAGCGTGGTTCCAGGTCACCCCAAGCAAATCCACTGCACGTGAACTCTGTCACCTGCATCAGCAGCAAAGGACGATCAGTGGGACCACCGCCACAGCCGTGGTGGTCTGGATAGTGGACCGCGAGCTTATGTAGTAGCGTCCTTGCGCCGGCCGATGATAGGTCGTTGGAGAACTTGACTTCTTTTAAGGCACAGCTTGCAGATGCAGCGACGAACACCACCCCGCGCGTCACCGCTGCACAGGATGTGGCTGGCCGCCTCATCGCCGGTATCAGCAGCTGCTACAAGGCGGCCAGCAAAAGGGTGGTAGTGGACTAATGCTTGGGACAAGGCTCTCTTTATGGTCTCCGCGGTCTCCTGGATTGGGTATTCGAACGCTTGCAGCATGGTGGCCTCGATCGTATCATAAACCTTGTCAAAAGACGAGAGCTTGATTATGCTGCCACTGCCACTCGTGATTTTTTTAAATTTTAACACTTTTTTAAACTAATTTTAAATGTAACACTGTTTTTTTTTCAAAACTAACACTTTTGGACGCGCCTATTGCTATGGCGTGACGAAACGCCTATGCCGCGCCATCCATGCCGGCGTGGCAAGAGGATGACGTGGCGCTGACCGGGGCTGCTGACCGGTGACGTGGCAGGGTCTGCCGCGCCACCGATCTTAGCGCGGCAGTGCCGTGCCATCCCTAATGGCATGACAGTCCTAGGTAAATATCACCCGCGAGCCGCCCTCCCTCTGTCTGCCTGCCCGTCGCCGCGCACGCTCGCCCGCCCGCATGCCGCGCAGCGCTAGCGCCCCGCCTACAGCGCCCGTCGCCCCGTCGGCCGCCCGTCCACTCCTGCCGCGCAGCATACGCGCCGGCCACGTCACGAACGCTTGCGCGTCACAGCCGCCGGCCGCCCGCTCATATCAAGGTAGCTCGCTCTCTCGATTTCATGTTATTATGATTGTTGTTTTAGTTAGGGTTAGTGATTTAGGATAGTTAGGTTAGTGAATTTGTTTATTTAGATAGGTAGTTTTTAGGATTTAGGTTGTGTGTCGTAGTATAGTTAAGGTTTGGTTATGTTGTTAGGGTTTGGGTTACTGTTAGTTAGGATTTTGGGTTTAGAGATTGATTAGGTATTTATTATTTAGTTAGTTTATAGTAGTAAAGGTTGTCAGTATAGATACTAGTTTTCAAGGGTCGGTACTTAGTAGTGTGTGATACGACGATTTGGATGACTTGATGAAGTTTCGTCAAATGCTTATTTTTCAAGTGAAGTTGTTTAATATGTCTGTTAATGTTACTTTGAATATATACATGTGCTTTCATATTGTGTTCGTATTGCATAACAAGTAGTTCAAATTTTGCAATGCTACATAATGTTAATTTGAATATTGTTAATTTGAATACTCTAACCCTTTATTTATCAATTTGTAACAGGATAGCCCCTCCCACGCAGCACCCGTTGTATCCCCTTCTTGAGGTGGAATACGACGACCAGCACCGAGCACACATCTTGAGTGACACCGACGCAGAGGTGGCCTTGCCTCCTTTGAGGCCCCGCACGCACACTAGGGCGCACCAGTGGGACGAGCGTTACGCACCGTACATACGGCGTGCCGGCTTCCTCGAGCTTGTCCATGTTGTCAACTACGATCTTCCGCCCCTTGACCCAGCACTACTTACTGCAGCTGTAGACAGGTGCGAGTGCCTTCTTTGTACGTAAACATTCATATAACAAATTTGAGGCAACTAACAGTCGTTCTTTTCTTATAATAGGTGGAGGCCTAACCCACACATTCCACCTACCTTACGGCGAGATGACCTTGACCATGCAGGACGTGAAGGCTATCTTTGGCCTTCGGTTGGGGGGACTTCTAGTGACAGGTATAGTTAACAACGATCACTAGAGGGAGCTGGGGGCTCAGTTCACTGGCTTTCTTCCACCGGACGACGAGGTTTCCAAGAAAAATAAGTGAGCAATTCAAGCCTATTTAATACTTGCATTGCTTTCCTGTAGCCATCGGGTCTTATTTTCTTTGGTGAATTTCAGGAAAAGTACTGGTGTTTCGTCGTCCTGGGTTACAGAGCACTTTGATTACTTGGACCCACAGGCTGATGAGGCTCAGATCGACAGGTTCGCTAGAGTGTGGCTCTGGCACTTCCTTGGTGCTTTCCTCTTCCCAGACACCTCGGGCAACACCATCAGCTGGATCTTTCTTGATATACTACGCCAGCCGTGGGAGAACATAGCGGTGTATAGTTAGGGCAGTGCAGTCCTGGCATGGACGTATCGACAGCTATGCGTTGCCTGCCATCGCACCTCAGGGTATGCGAACCTTGAGGGTTGCTCCTACCTACTCCAGGTTTGGTGTTGGGAACGATGGCCCGTTGGCAGACCCCTTAATACTGGTTTACCGGTATGTACTTCGGTTCACTATATTCTTCGAGGCAGTTACATATGATTAAATTATTAATGGATAATTCATTATCGTGTTCAATGCAGCATTGGAACGGGCATGATACACTCCCTACAGCTCTGTATATCTGGACGGAAGTAGAGTTAGTTAGAGGGAATGCGAGGCGCAAGTACAGGGAGTACACGGACGGTCTCGATGTCCTGACACAGCACCAGGTTACGCTCTCTTTACTATCATATATGTGTCTTGTTCGATGTACACTATATAACAACCTAACTCAATTACGAAATGTTCAGGTGCCTTGGTGTCCTTGGGATGCTCCGGAGCTCGAGTACTATCTCAGTCCTGTCACTAAGGATGAGTCAAACGAGTATCGCTGCATCGTCTCTCTTATTTTCTTTCACATGGTCGAGATTCACTTGCCCATCAGGGTTTGCAAGCAGTTTGGAAGAATGACAGGCTACCCACCACCGCTTTACTCCACCAAGCAAGAATTACACGGGTGCGTTATCGATTAATAACAAAGCTACAATTCAGAGGTGTGTGTGGTACAACTAACATCGTTTTGTTGCAAGTATGACCGCAGGAAGAGGTACAAGACCAAGGATTGGCGCGTGACACACAACGCGTACATCCACTTGTGGCAGAACAGGGAACGGCAGCCGGGCCATGCGGGTCCCCCACACGACCAGCACACCCTCGACGAGTACCTGCGGTAGCTTCACAGGTCTATAGGACACATATCAAGCCCCCGTACACTGAGGAGGCGATTGACGAGGACTCAGAGGAAGATGTGATCGAAGATGTGTACGACGTTCCCACTAGGGACGACACACAACTACAGAGAGCCCCGCTTCAAAGACACATGGTAAAATACTCAAATGGTACAATTTATTATCCATTTGGTATTAAGTATGTGTACTAAAACTGTCCAACTGTGTTTCTGTGCAAAATGCGAGAGCCCATGTATATGAGATGAAGACAAAAACAGTAAGGGACGAAGCCCATGGAGACACCAGCATGCTTTTTTTAGGGGCAGAATTAAGCATTTGAGGTAGCGGCCAGCGTGTCCGGAATTGTTTATATGTCCATGTGCATGTGGGCCGGTTTTGACTCTAGTGTGGCGCTTCCGAATTCCTGGACTGCGCAGCCCATGTACAAGTATATATTTTTGTTAATACTGTTTGGTAGACAATATTTCAATGGGATACATGGTTCCTATGCTGCGCAATCTATCACATATGCCACAAGTATTCTTTTTACATAGGTTAGGGGCTGTTTGTTTGGATCCAGGGGGCTCACAGTTAGCTCCTGTTTTCGAATACCAAATAGAAAGGCTAAGGAGGCTAATTGGTGGTTAGAGTCCATTACCCTTGTTAGCTCGTAATTAGCTCATGTTTATCCTATTTTCACAGGCTGAGCTAATGTTTAGCTCTGAGATCCTAACAGGACCTTACCGCATTTCAGCCATGTTCTTAGTTTTCCATAAGTACATTTCTTTCCCATTATTACTAGAATCATGCCCATTCTACATGCGTATGTTTGTGGGCTTTAGAACTTTTATGCCTGAGAGCAATCTGTCTCTGAGGTAGAGATCAGATGTGCTGGAGATGTTAGCTTGTTTCTTCTTTTGCTAAACCAAACTCCTGTATTTCCGTCTGAATGGAAATGGGGCTCGCCTCCGGTGGAAAAATAAGAATCATATATGCCTATGCAATGCAAGGGGAGAAAATAATATAATAATAACCAGTGCATCCTTAGGTTTGTAGCCAGTTGCATGAATTATATTGGAAGAATATAAAAAATGAATGTATTTATGATATATATACCACTAGAAGTGCACGGATGGTAGTATTCATTATCTCTTTGCCGGAGGTCTCCTTTTAGTTCTCCAGGAACTGACGCATAGAGTTGGAGTTCCTACTGGTGGCGCTGGCCTTCCATGCAGAGAAGGTAACGCAGATGGATCGGCGCTGGCTTGTCCGAGTAGGGGTTGAACTGCACCATCGGATGACAAGCACATGGACGCGGACGCGTGAGCTCCATGAAGATGATGACGTGGATCATGACTTCGTATAGGATGCGGACGCGTGAGCATGGATCAGGACTTGATATCACTCGGTAGATGATGACGTTCTAGTATTTTTAGGCGTAGAGATTTGCTCCATTATTTCTTTTGTTGGGATGATCACGAGTGCTTCAGCTAATCTATGGTGGAGTAGTACTTTTGTGTTGCGTGCCAACTTGGACTTGATTCAAATTGAAAAGCCCAAGTGCCCAACACTCTCCTATCCTATACTCTGGCCAGGCCCGTGGCGAAATGACTTACTGCTTGGGTTGGTCATACATATTCTGGAATCCGATCTGGCAGGGCCAGGCCCAAAGAGGACCCTTGTGAAAATGAATTAGGAATGGCTTAGTTATGTGTGTATGTAAGATATATGTATAAATGTTTTATTAGTTTGAGCTTTCCATAGACGGATCTACGATAGTGGTAGCAAGTCATATGTATGTGAGATTTCTGTAATCAAACCCAGTATCACTGTAGTTTGTAGTTCTTCTCCCAATGGCCATGAAGACACTAGTAGAGAACAGACCTTCGGTTCAGCATATTAGTCTCGGCTAGACTTAGGTCCGGGACTAATGTGAGCATTAGTCTCGGGTCTAAGTTTTATGGGCGAAGGACCTTTAGCCCTGGTTTGTTACACCGACCAAGACTAAAGGGTCTACATTAGTCTCAGTTGGTGTTATGAACCGGGACTAAATAGTCTTGACCCTTTCGTCCTAGATGATAATACCGAACTGAACTAATGTAGACCCTTTAGTCTCGGTTGGTAACACCAACCCGGACTAAAGG